CTTTTGCCTGAACTCGCTGGAGTTGACAAAAACACTTTGAGAGCTTCCCTATTGGTAGGGAGGAGCTCCTGACATTTCCTGAGAATTCCATGCTCCTCTCTGGTTTTAACCTACTGCTCCCCTCTTCCACCCAGTGCGAATTCTGCACTAAAAAACAGAACCCCACTGGGAACCAGCTGACCTCGCTGACCTTGGACGAGTCAGTCTCTACTCTGGGTTTTTGTTTTCTTATCCAACTGTGAAATAGTTGGACTAGACAATACACCTTCAATGCTACTTAAAAGTAGCAGAAAGGAGCTCTAGAATATTATGACCTGAATGTTCTTGTTTTTCTTGGCTTCTTTAATCTGTCAATTTAGACTTTAGAGGCAACCCTCTACTTTCCACAAGGGCGTCAATCAATAACATTTTTTTTGGGAAAATATTGTTTAGGGTTGATCTGCCTGCTTGATTTCACCTGTACTTACTCCCTCTCACTCACCACCCCAAAGCCTAACTTTATGAACCCATAAATAAGAACATGGAAAACTCAGCCACATCTCTTGAAAAAGACAACTCATTTGTATTACATCAAGAAGTTGTGAGTTCAATCACACCTTAAAAAGACTACATTGAGATTAAGCAGCAAAGTGTGTGAATGAAACCATATTTGAAATACATTGTGGGAATAGGTTATTTTAAGTAACCTGCTGGGAAAGCATTTTAGGAAAAAAAGATGAGTACTCTAAAAAAATATAAATCAAGTAACTATTATTGGATTTATCTGGCTATAGCATTTCAAAAATTACAAAAATCTGATTCATTCCTACAAAGTCATGCAACCTTTTGCTGCTACTCTTACCACGCTGCTACTATTGACTCTTGTCAAGATCATGCCTGACTTTCCCCAGACATAGCTGGTGCTGCCAGGACAGGTGTGGTCAAGGTGGTGAAGGCTTCTCTGCCTCTGACTTGCTAGTTGTGTGACCTTAGGCAAGTCAATTTCCCTCTCTGAGCTTTAGTTTTCTTTTTTCTAAAATGAGGAAGTTGAATTTTATTTCTAAGTTTACTCTAAAATTCTAAGAACTAAATAAGAAATATGGGTTAATGACAGGACTGGCTTGAGGACACAGACTTCAGCGCAGCTGGGGACCTGGATCCCAGCAGAACTGGCTCCCCTAGGCAAGAAAACCCTGGACTTTTCCTCCTACCCCAAAGGGAGAGGTGGGCTGGAGCTTCCTCCCTTCCACCAAAGAGTCTAGAGGGTTGCACACCACAATCTGCTCCCTGCCCCTAGCTCCAGACCTTTTGATAATAGGCAGTGGTTCTAGGAAAATGGATGGAACTCTGCTAAGAGAAATGCCAACAAAAGGCCCAGAGGAAGAGAGAGAGGAAGACCCCATGGAAGATTCGGATGTTCGTCTGGGTGGAAGAGTCCAAAGCGGATGTACCAGCATGTTGTTAGCACATACACACCCTGTGTGGGAAGAGGAGCAGCTGAGGTGACCGGGAGGTGACGGATGCTCTCACTCTTCATCACGAAATATTCAGAGAACACCATTCTAGCTCCTTGAGATCTACGGTGTCCAGAGCAACCCCAGATTCCTCTATCATCATAAATCCCTGACTAAAAGAAAGCAGCCAGAAGATTTTCCCCTGTGAAATGGCCCAAAGTCATTCCATCAGTCTTTCTCGAAGATGCACTGGGTGCCCTTCATCATTATCACATTATAAATGAATTTGTTAAGAAATATGTGCTTACTGACTACAATGTGCCAGTCACTGTGCTAGATGCTTGGGATGTAGCAATGAATAAACAAACCTATCAAGATTCCTGCCCTCAGGGAGGTGACAGTCTCTCAGGGGAGACAGACACACAATAGCGATAGGAAGTAAATTAAATGGCATGTTAGAAGGTGATGGAACTAAATAAAGAAAATAAAGGAAAAGCCATCATTTACTTCATCATTCATTTTTCAGTTTTCCTTTAGCCCCAACATTCAGAATCCCCCCAAATATTTTCTCCGTATTATAATTTCTTATTCTTTAGTTTTTTCATTACTAGCATGACTAGAGTATTGCTTGAGACTGATTTCATTCTATGAATACACTTTATGCATTGTGTAATGTGGAAGTGCCTTGGCTCTGTTCAGTGAAACATTTTCTAAATTTTCCTTTCAAGACTCCCACGAGTTGGGCAGAAAGAGCATCATTACGCCCATTTTACAGACAAAAAGCCCAAGGTTCATGGAGTCTTTGAAAAGTTGGGTGTCTTGATTTTTTTCCTCAGTATTCTTTTGCAGACTTATGTAGGAAGTATTTTTGGTATATTCTCTGTGGGAAAAAGTGTTAGAAATTTCAAACAATTGACTTCAAACAATTATCTGGAACATTATTTAGAACAAACCTGGCTATTTGTTGGCAACTTCTTTTTTTTTTTTTTTTCCCTGAGATGGAGTCTCACTCTGGCATCCAGGCTGGAGTGCAGTGGCACGATCTCGGCTCACTGCAACCTCTGCCTCCCGGGTTCAAGTGATTCTCCTGCCTCAGCCTCCTGAGTAGCTGGGATTACAGGTGTGCGCCACCAGGTCTGGCTAATTTTTATATTTTTAGTAAAGAGGTGGTTTCACCATGTTGGTCAGGCTAGTCTTGAACTGGCTGGTCTTGAACTCCTCGTGATCCACCCGCCTTGGCCTCCCAAAGTGCTAGGATTACAGGTGTGAGCCACTGTGCCCAGGTGGCAACTTCCAATATAGTGATTAAGTAGGTTCACACCTGATGGCATATTTCCATTTCCGGGAAAGTGATGGTTAAAAAGAAATCTACTTACATTGTGTGCTTGATTGTTACCACTGTGGTTCCTGATACTGGGTTATCCTTATTGGCCACCTGTGATTTCTTTAGAGAGCTGGCAACCTGCCCTGCTCATCATGTGGGGGGACATTTTTCTCCACAGCATAAAATTGGTGAAGTGCAAGACCTTTTTTGGTTCCTCCCTAGACTCTAATGATACTGGTAGATACCAGTGTGCAGGGCTCCATTCTTGCTGCCTACCTTCTGGGATTTAATATCAATTGCATCTTCTGGAAATGGGTTGCATCCTTAGATGTAAGCTAGTTAAGCCTTCTTCAGAGGGCAAATGGGACACATAGAGGCACGCACAGACACAGAGACACACCCACATGTGATTCCTAAAGTGCCTGGGGAATTTGTCTGTGTACATTCAGGGTATATAATTTGACAGGCTATAAAGGTGAAAGTTTTATCTCTGAATTTCTTTGGTCCCCTGTTCCTGCCACCAGACAATTTCCTCCTAACATTGCAATCTGGGACAAAGCTTTTGTCCCTAGATTGGCTTTCTATGAAAGCTCTTGGTGCCTTTTAATCAGCTGCTACGTGGTCTGTATCCATGGTCCAATTTCAGTATTAGTACAACCAGAACATATTAGGGAAGGTAGCTTGACTTCTGCTGCTGTAGCAAAAATATGCTTACGTAATGCAGTCTAACGTCAAATGTAAATGAGCTTTTTTTCTGTACCCTATCCAAAATAATCTAGAATCCTGCTCTTATTTGTGATGCGAAGAACTTGGGAATTTCTAGCTTAGTGTCTTTCCACCCTCTTCTCTCTTTTTTTTTTTTTTTTTAGGTTTTCACTATTTATTTATGATAAATATTCCACTTCCATGATTCTCTCCAGTCAAAAGTTCCTAGAACCAGGGGAAAAGGACAACGTTAGGACCACGCCTCTGGAGCAGCCCTAGTCCACTCACTCTGCCCAAATGTGAGCCCCCCAACCTTACTTTGAGACGATGCCGTCGGCCTTGGCCAATCGGAGAAGGGAATCATCTGACTCACCCATCCTACGAATGGCCCCGCAGATAGCATAAGTTTTAAACTGGCCATTAAACCTGCCTGTGACCTTGTCAACCTCGGCCACGTTCATCTGGATGGATGCGTGGTCCTTGGCACCGATGATGCGGTTGCTAGCGGAGCATTTCCGCGGCACGTACAGGTCCACGAACTCGCCGGCGTCGTTCTGCATCTCGAGGCTGAGCCTGCTGCCACCACACCGCGCGCGCGAGAGAAAGGAAGCCACCCTCTTCTCTTTTTTAGAGTTTGCTTTTTAGAGTATGTTGTGATTCAGTATTAGTACTGAATTAGTACTGAATTCACCCATGTGTTCTTGGCACATTGAAGGATAGCCTTCAATACAAAAGGGTCATTATTACCATTGCAGGGGCACAAGTCCCTTGAAATTATCTGCAACATTGTTCCTGTTCAGTTTTCATTTGGTTTGCTGGGTTTCCTCTGCCTATTTTAACCTGTTGCAATTCATTATTAGCACTGAATTAGTACTGAATTCTCACACTCCACTGAATTAGTACTGAATTCAGTACTAATACTGAATTATAACAGAGTAGAATTAGGTAGTGTGGCCCCTTAAAGGGAAGATGGGCTTTCAAATAAGGAATCTTGGGTGTGGAACCTGATATAATATTTTATTAATTGTGTGACTTTAGCTTATTTAGTTTACTCTCTGAAACTTAGTTTCTTTTTCTTTTTCTGTAAAATAGGAGGAAAAGTTAACCCTGACAAATCTTTTTAGGGATGTAAAAGGGATAATGGAGAAAATGGTTGAAATTTAGATAGAATATACTAAGAATATGTCAGTTTCCATCTTTCCTCTCCCCCTTCTACCTTCTCCCCCTTCATTTGGTGATGATGCTTTCTTGGGAATGAAGTTTTTATGTGACAGGTTTATTTCTCCATTAGAACAATCTCACACAGTCTGCCATGTGTCCTGGAGGTGTTGGCTCCCCATGTGTTTATGGTGGAAAATGTATTCTCTTTGCCACTGTGTTGATTCCAAGACACACTCATGTAAACCTGTGGCTAAAAATGACAGAGTCTGCTTTGTGGGCTGATCTCTTTCAGTGTTGCGGTGTGACTGTTTTGCCCTTTAAAATCCATTGATTTGGGAATTAGGAGATCAGGTATGTTCATCTAATTTGAAAATGTGCTGGAGAAATAACGAATATTCTTCTGATTTAGTCTCGCAATAAATCTGTCCTTCAGCTTGAAACTGTGGTGCCAGAACTTTCTTTGCCATCACCACCACAGGCATGAGTTTCTGACAAGTAACCCATCCAATAGTCAACTGCTTCCCTCTTAATTCAATGCCTGGGAAAAGCACAATGATTTCAGCACTGAGAAAATAAAGCTACGGTTTGGAGGACTAGAGAGCATTTTGAGAGGGTACAATGGTGCCACCAGGATCCTACCTCTTTCCTCTGAATCAGGTGAAAAGGATAGTATTTGATATCTCTAGACAAGAGCTTCTCCAGGTGACAAGTACAAATTACTCTCCTGTTTTTGTGATCTGACCGGTCACCACCTGGTCCCAAACAAGGGCTCTGGAATTAGAGAACATTCCAAAACCACATCTCACACTCCACATGTTGCCTCTCTTCTGAAATAAAGAATGACTCTGTGAAGAAAATACAACAGAGGTGAGGAAAGCTTACAAATAATTAGGGAAGGGAAGGTGGGAGTCAGATTCAGCATGCTGTGCTATCAAAAACATAGTACAGAACAGCTCCATTAACTTTGTGTGAATAACTAGATGAAATATACTCATAGGACGTAAATCACAAGCGAAGTGGAAATTGCCCAAAGATGTAAATAATTTCTTGATAGAGCCTTTCATAAATAATCATGGTCTGTCTCTGCTGGGTATTTCACGTCTAAATTGTCATCAACATAGTTTTGATTTTACCAACAAGACATGGAATTGTTTCTTATAATACAAAAGAAAGCTAAGTACTTAATAGCATCCCTTTAGAATTATTTTTAACTCCTATTTGCATCCCAGATAGGCAGAGGAAACCCAGTAAACCAAACAAAAACCAAACAGGAACAATGTTGCAGATATTTTCAAGGGACTTGTGGCCCTGCAATGGTAATAATGACCCTTTTGTGTTGAAGGCTAGCCTTCAATGTGCCAAGAACACATGGGTGATAAAATCTCTAAGCTAAAAGTTGATCTGGTCTGGTAGGGCCCCATAAAGCAGGGTTGAGGGAACCCCTATAGTACTGCTGTGGAGAGTAAATGTGTACTCAGGAATAAATACTTGCTGGATACAGCGAAGAGCCAGTTGTTGATTTGCATGTGTGATCACTTTTTCAAATAGCAGAAAAGAAACAAAAAACATATGCAAAGATAGACTTTTCAGTTCTGTCCTGATTCCAATTCATTGTTGATACACAGGGCAGAGTTGCTTTGCAATTTAAAAGCAGACCTAAAGTGTTCGAAAGAACCAAGGAGGCAGGTCCAACGTCCCTGGACGGTCAAAACCTCCCCATCCTCGACCCGGATTGGCTGAGAAGCTGCCACACCCAAGCAGAGCCCAATTCCTCCCCACACCCTGTCCTGGCCTCTCTGAACTGCCTCTGTCCTTGCTGCTCCTCTCAGAATCCCACTGTCTTTCCAAGACCCAGATGGGGTGCCCTCTCTTCTCTTCTGGGAAATCTTATCTGCCTTCCCTGAAGACTGGAGTTATCTGCCCCTGCTGCCCTTCACTTTTATTCAACTTTTGGCACGTCCCATATAAGACGTGTGTTTTAGTTACCTGCCAGCCTTCCCAACCAGGTACAAACCCTTCAAGGGCCAGGACTTGTCTTATTCATCTTTGTAAGAGAGTGCTGCAGGCACTAGAAGAGTTTTTCAGCCCAGGGGAGGCAAGGTAAATGCTGGCTGATACACCTTTTCCTCTCTATTTAGAGTCTGGCGATTCACAGTTTGACTAGTGGAGTAAATCCTTTAATATTGAAATCCCTTGCCGCCCTTGCGTTCTTGCTGAGGTATCATATTGTGTCCTGGTCTTAGATTCCACAGAGCGTTTATGCTTCTGCCAAGAGCTTAGGCTGTGGAAGCCTGAGCCATATTTTGTCTTTCATTTCAAATCCTATCCATCAGATTACATTTTCCACATTGGCTTTTCCCTTACAGCCAAAACTAATTCTAAGTGTGTTCATATTCGGTGCTCAGTTTGTAAGAAGGGCCTCCTTTGTGCGGGAGGCCCTGGACTGGAGTCTGCCAGAGGATTCCAGATTTGTCACCGCTCAGGACTGGGCTTTTGGTTGGTGCCTAGCGAGGGTGGTTGCTCCTGCCAGCCAAGGACCCTGCTGGAGAACTTGCCAGGGGAAGTATTTGCTCTTCTTAGGATTTTTACAAATGGATTTTTTATGTAGTTCAGGGTGGATCAGTAATTTTCCACAGTCAGAATTTCTCTGCCAGGTGGGCAGTTTCTCTTAGGTTGGTAGAATGCCCTCTGATAAGATTCAGTGGCAAATAAATTACTTGCCCATTCAGGATGTTTGAGTATCAGCCACAGAAGAAGAGGGGCCCCTGGGTGCAGCAGAAGACCTGAGGGAACCAAAGAACCTAAACAGATAGGTGAAACAGAGTTCCAACCAAGAAGTTACATACTGAACGAGCACCCAGGGACCCATGGTTGCTACACCTACTAATCCTCTAATTCATAATATGAAGGACTGAGGGTTCATTGAAAACATGCTTGTTTTTATACTGAAGTTAGGGTGATCTTTTGTTTGTTTGTTTGTTTTTTGTTTTTGTTTTTGTTTTTTTTTTGAGACAGATTCTCGCTCTGTTGCCCAAGCTGGAGTGCAGTGGCGCGATCTCGGCTCACTGCAACCTCTGCCTCACAGGTTCAAGCAATTCTCATGCCTCAGCCTCCCAAGTAGCTGGGACTACAGGCACCCACCACCAGGTCTGGCTAATTTTTGTATTAGTTTTAGTAGGGATGGGGTTTCACCATGCTGGCCAGGCTGGTCTCGAACTCCTGACCTCAAGTGATCTGCCCACCTCGACCTCCCAATGTTAGGGTGATCTTGCTGGTGTACTTCCTAGCAAGGCAATAAACCTTAAAGAAGACAGCATATGTACTCACATACACCCTACATGTACAACTATAGTTCATGGTAATTGAGCTCTTTTGAGGTGCGATGCTTTATGCTTTATATTCCATATCTTCTTCAGTTTCCACAGCCCTAAGAGGCAGATATGATTATCACCGCTTTATGAAAAAACAAAATGAGGCTTCAGGATGTTACATATTTTAACCTGTGTGTCTTTTTTTTTTTTTTTTTTTTTTTTTGAGACAAGGTCTCACTTTGTCACCCAGGCTGGAGTGCAGTGGCATGATCACAGCTCACTGCAGCAACCTCCTGGGCTCAAGCAGTCCTTCCACTTCAACCTCCTGAGTAGCTGGGATCACATGTGCACACCACCACACCCAGCTAATTGTTCGTTGTTGTTGTTGTTTTGTATCTTTTGTAGAGATAGAGTTTCGTTATGTTGCCCAACCTAGTCTCAAACTCCTGAGCTCAAGCGATCCTCCCACCTCAGCCTCTCAAAGTGCTGGGATTGCAGGCATGAGCCACCGCCCCGGCCTGTATACTAATATTTTATCTGATGACTTCTCCAAATGTTCTTTTTCCTTTGTTTTTCCAGAGCTGGAAGAAATGAAGAACCTCAACAATTTTTATTTCTACTTTTGATCAAGGAAAAATGGTATTTAGAAGGTTTGCTAGAGAAAAACTTAGCAGTTTGGAGGATTGAGATCCTTTGGCAGACATATGGGAGTGTGATCTGGAAATATTTTTTTAAAGGAAGAGCTGGTGTTTTAGGATGCCAAAGGTACAAATTAGGATGGTGCCATGGTTGACAGAAATTTGCAAGATCTCCATATCTACATTAACTCTTTGCTCCTGACTATTAGCTGACTGGTCCAGAAATTCTTAATCCAAGCTTCATATGTAAGCTTCTCTCTCCTGTGAATATGGCACCGAGAGACACAAGATTAGAAGCCCTGGGTGCTGATCAAACTCATAGCAAGGAAGAGTTGTGGTTCAATACTGCCTGCTCCGGAGACTTCTGAGAAGGGCGTCTCTCCGTCTGTGTGGATGTCTGATGCTTCTGGTGTTTCACAATTCTTGAGCCCGGCCAGGAGTTTACTAACAGGCATCCCTGTGTCATCTGAACAAGGCATGTTCAGCTCTCTGTTTTAATCCCTCTT